TAATTCCTGGAAGATTCTGGCTACTTATCTCCAGATATAGCTACACTTCTGCTTTTTTTTTATGCCAAATTGTAGGAGCTACTCTGACAAAACTGGGAACACAGTTTACCTCATCAATTTACTGTGGGTATTTGCTAAATCACAAAAAAAAAAAAATAAAAGAAAAAAAAAAGGTGGGCAGAGATTAATACAACATCACTCAGGAAGCATTATTTTTGTATCACTTAATCACTGGATACTTTATGCTGCACGTGAGCCTGACTCCAGCAACACATTCCTCTGACTCATGACTCCTTAAAACCACAACACCCACTTCTGGGGCAAGGACTTTAACTGTGAGGCCACCATGCAAAATGGAGGAGTAGAGCATCACTTCATTTGATTGAAGAGTCAACACACAAGGAGTCTGAAATCCTGTGGACTTTGCTGCATCTGCAGCAAATACAAATCTGGGTTTAGGAAGCATGTCAGATACACGTCAGGTCCTCCATGAAACAAGAGCAGACACGTACAAGCAATTGAAAGACTTTGGAGTTGGTCTCTGCTCTTTCTTCAGACAAAACATATGCTTTTGTCCACTCCCCTCCAACAATTCAGCTGTATGGCCTCAAAATTCACCTGGAAGGAGTGTTACATTTAAGTTTTTTTATTATAAACTGAGATTGCTTAATACAGGACATTGACACAATCCCTCTAAAAGAGAACTAAAGGACACAGATTACACAGGAGAACTAATTTTGGAAAGAAAATAGGTTTGAAAAGCCATCACTACATTATTAAACAGACAATGCCACAGGACTCCCTAATAAGAGCCAGATAAATAATCTTGTACACATGGAAAGGTCAGTAAGTTATCATTTTGAAGCAGTCTGTCTCTCTGGCATATACCCAGGAAGACCAATTAACAATTCTCTTCACTGCTTCTAAAAGACTGGTGAGAAAGTTAAGGTTATGAGTTTCTAGAAGGTTTAGGCTATTCAGCATTGCATTTTTTCAGCATTTTTCACTCTTTGGTGTTTTTGCCATACCAGTAATGATGATGCAGGAGACAAAGGGAGTGGGGTGAGCAGGAAATGTAACCCAAGCTGACAGAGATAAAAGCATATTAATGTTCAACAGCTGGTGGCTGTAATGAGCCTATGAAGCTGATGAGAGGACTGACAAGGCTAGCCAGATCTTCTTGCCTGCACATAAATAAGACCTAGTGGCTATACAACCATTTCTTAAGAATTTCAGAAAAAGCTTTGCAAGCAATGTGTTGAAAAGGTCATTAAACTGTTGGGCTGTGGTACCTGGGCTCAGTACTGAGCATTAAAACGGATTAATTTTCTTCTCTGTGTGTTTATATCAAAACTGCCAGTAAAAATATTTTTTTTCTGCAAGATTTTCTGAATTGTGTTTTAACAGTTCTGTCACAGACCCAGCACTGTGTAAGGAATCAGACCAAGTATCTTGTACCCTGTGGAACTGGAAACCTCAGAAGAACCACAATGATCCAGCAATGGGCAGGTACCCAAGTCCTGGTACTTTGTAATGCTGGTTGCAGCTGGGTCTTGCTATACCTCCTTACACAGTCAGATGGAATCTCCTAATTTGTTTTGTGATAAGACATTGATGAAACCACGTGCTATTCCTTCCTAACTTCCAGCAGTCAATATGAGAATTAGGGTGTGAAATGTTCATAAGTTTCCCTTCACGTTCTTAGAATTTTTGTCATTTCTGCAATAGCTGTTGATAGCTATCCTATCCACACAGATGCTTAACCCTTTTCAGAATTATTTTAAGCTACAGTCCCACATGTTAGCAACCTTCTACCTCCATCAGCATCTTGCCTTATATTTTCCCTAACTGATCCTTTTTTGCATGTCGCAGGAAGGTAAATATGGGAACTGGGTTACCTTTACCTGATGTTGTTTTACAGCCTTCCATTAAGGTCTCTGCATTCTCATTAAATTACCTATCCTATTCTTTCTGCCTTCTCAGTTTCTAAAAGGGCAAGCAAGCACCAGTGAGTGAAACCAGGGGAAGGAGAAAATGGCAATTTTTCCTACGGAAGTGTGCCACAAGAGAACACGACAGTATGGGTGTACATAGAATGATCTGAGCATGATGTAACTCAGTGTCACACCTGGCTCACTACTATGTAGAAGGCTTTGGCAGGGACTATGTGTACTGCTCCTTGTCCCTGTGGTGTGAAATGATGCACTGAAGCCAATGGTGTTGCACTGATTTATATCACTAGCACAGCTTCCTCAAACCTTGTTATTAGCACAGAAGCCACATTCATCTGTTCGCAAGCTTGGAGCCATGAAGCACCTTTCCTGCTCTTTATATAGTCATACAAATCTGGGGGGGTTTCCCTCCTAAAATGAAGGCACAGAGGGGATGCACTATAAATCCATTACAGGAGTAAACACCAAAGATTAATTTTATGAACACAAAGAAAATTTTGGCACAAGAATGAATGTGAATTAAGTGGCCTCGAATAAAATTAGAGGACATGCTCTAGTCACCAAATCATTGAGTTTCTGGAAAAGCCACCCTTGGAAAAAAATGGAAAGCAAGAAACAGTGAAAAGAATCAAGAATGTTAATAAAGCACTTAATTAATGCGATATATGGGGTGGATCCAGGAAGAAGTAGGATACAGTAGCCTGGAGAGTCTCTTCCAGTCCTGTATGTCCACAAGAAAATAAAAAGACTTTAAAAAACACCCAAAATATATTTTCCTCTGATATCAGCTAGCATGTAAAACTAGCTAAAGAAGAGTGGGGAATGTTTAAGTAAACAAGCAATCCTCTATATATTTTTAATTATATTTTAATACATTGCTTCTATAGGCCATAGTATTACTGCTGCAGCTGAATTTTTATACAGGTAGTATCTGTGAAATTTTGAGTAAGCATGTATGGGAGCATGGAATGACAAATGTTCAAAAGAGGCAGCATCTGCTAATGTAAGAGAAAAACTTTCACTACTTCAGATATTTGAAGTGGGAATTCACCTTTTCCTCATGACCTATTATTTCTTTGTCCCACATTTAAACAATCACTGAAATTACTGTATTTATCAGTGTGTTCACATTTCTTCTTCTTCAGTTTTGTATGAGATAAATGTGCTTTCATTCTTTCTACCCTTCTGTACATCTGAGGGCTGTAGTACCCATAGCAGCTAATCCAGGGGATTTTACACAGGATAAGCAAATGCTGTGGGTTTGTTCGTAGGTAGCCAGAGCTACTCAAAGACAGCAGCCACCCCTGAATGACTCAGGCTTGAAATGAGAGGAAAAATGCATATGACTTCTCCTCATGACAATACAAACTTAAAGCTTTATATCCCTACAGTCAAGAGAAAAACTGTTTCAGTTATGCACATACAAAGTAAAAGTTTGTCAAGGTGCCTGAAGAATTTGTTAAAGCAGGAATCAGTAAAAATACTGGGGAGAGTGACAATCCTACTGTAACTCTAACCACATATTCCAGTTCAATGAGGCTTCAAACTATAATGGATCATGGAGTGCTAAATACACCTCATCTCCTAAAGTCCAAATCTTAAATCTCAAATCTTAAAGTTGAAGTTCAAAGCAATGCCTCTTGGAATTTTCAAGCCCAGAACCTGTCAGATACTAGTGATTTTCAGAGACTTTAAACACTTATTAGCTCACTGGGAGCTATGCCTTTTAGACCACTGACCTGATTTCCCACTGTCTTTAAGAAATATCTAACTAGACAATTAAATGCTTACTTTTATGTACTGAAATGCAGAAATCATGACCACGCTTCTTGGATGAATAAGAAAAACAAGGTTTCTTGGATGAGTAAGGTTTCTTGTGTAAGTCAGGAAAATAAGATGGGGTATATGTGCTCAGGTAGATGGACATAGAAATGTTGTTAAGTCAGTATCCTGCTGGGTGTATATACCATTGCTCAGCAAAGAACACCATTTAAAATCTTTAAGCTATGGCCATTAAAAACAATTACTGTTAAATAGAGTTCATTGGACTTCATTGGGGTTTTATGCAGAGGAGGGATCATTAATCATGTTAAAATCATGTGCTAAAAGCTGTGAAAATATATTTGAGTAATAGTTTATTTTAAGGATGCATTCCATTACCACTGAATTTTGACGGCAGCCTCATGGAAGCAGATTGTGCAAATGATATTCTCAATGAGGCTGATGAAATAAGGCTATACCATACATCAATGCATTTGTATTTTAGGGATTTAGTTACCTCACATCAAGTGTTAATGAAAGCCATTGCTATAGCACTGCCTTTGTGAAAGAAAAGAGAATTAGAATGCTTAAGACCATCCGTATGATGCATACCAGAAGGCACTGCCATAGCAAAGACAGATGAGAGATACTTTTTTTCTCCAAAATTCTCAAAAGAATTTTCAATTTAAACTTGTTTCTATAGACATAAAAAAGGTTCAGCTCCTCTTCTCATCACACAATTTCAACCTGTTGCTTAGAAAGGCTTGAAGAACTTGTGTGTGGGACTACTCCATGGAAGCTATTATAATCTTTAGAGTTTTTGAGGACTGTGCTGGCACTGTGAGTGAAAACATGGATTGACAATGTGCAACTAGTAGCAAGGACAGGGCATTATCCTGTCTTATCATCAAAAGTGCTCAGCACCAGTTATACAGAAACATGGGTGTGTCATTCAAAATGACTACAGCAGTTGCAAAGAGCAAAAGATCTTACAAATATCTGAGGCTTGGAAGGTGTTGGAAGGCACCTTGATCAATGTGCACGAGGTTGTTGGCTTTCTCAATTCTTCTGCAAAGAGAAAATGAAACATCAGAGAAATATTTGTCAATATCTTAAATATCTTAAAAGAGTGTTTGTCCCATGATGTAGTGCAACTGTATGCTGAAATTTTCTTTTTGACAGCAGAAGATCTGCATGATTTCAAAGAGCACATAATTACCACAAATTGGCAGACCTCACCACCTTTTGATACTGCCATTGATCTGAGTATAAATTTTAGGTTGACCAGGTAAAGAAAGGGACAGTTAGACAAGAAGATGGAAAAGACAAAAGGAGATTTAAAATGTTCCTGTGTCACTCCAAATTCTTCAGATCTTACCTGAACCACACTGCAAAACCTTTGATACTTGCCTATAATGAATCTTAATAATTGTCTCCTTTGCATTTAGATTGCTCATTACTTACATTTCATGTAGTTTGGGAAGGCTGGAAAACACATTTGCTTCTATGACCTCCAAGGCGTCATTCTGTGAGATCTCTCTGAAAAATAATTTAGAAGTCAAGATATTTCAAGCCATGGTGAAGCAGAGAATGGACAAGTGAAAAATTCACAAAGGACTTCTTCCTAGATTACTGATGAGATTTTTAAAAATGGTGGATACCAGATAAGAAAATAGACCCCAGGAACATGATGTGTTATTGCCAAGGCAAATAACAGCAGTCAGGAGCAGACATCTTCTGAGGCTGAAGTTTCTATCTGTAGTGGCAGTCCTGCACATCCTGCTGTCACCATTCTCTGTGCATTAGAAGCCAGGGCCTATCCATCATGAGGTACTGGATCTCTGGCATTACTGATTACTGACAGAAATTGAATGAAACCTTTTAACTCAGTGAAGAAAAGAACGGGTGAAGGGAACTGAAATAAAGCCAGCTAAAAAGTTCCAAAGAAATATGGCACAACTTCACCAGTAGGACACAATGTAAACTACAGGGATTAAAATTCAACCAGCAGCAGATGCACCTTTATTAACAGGGGATGGAGACCACAGATGTGAAGAAGTCTCTACACCTTGGAGAAAACCCTATTTCATCACATCTGTACACAGTTAATGCACACTTACAGTCACAGAACTGCAGAACAGAAATGGCCAGTTTACTGAGTAAAGTAAATGTCCAGATTACATATTTTTTCCTTAATCTGTGGGACTGCAAAGAGAAGGCTCAGGCTGTAGTGTAATTTAGAGCTCAGGAGTCCTCCTGGTGAATCAAGTGGGCATTACTGCAGTGCAACCTGTCCCAATTATGTCCCTTATGCTGGCACTCACCAGGAAGGTCAGGGTAAAGACAGCTATGCCAGAAGATTTCCCCACTGCTGTTTTTTTAAAATGGTGCAAAAATACTATTTTCCCAGGCTGAGGTCAGCTGTAGGAAGTAAAATTTGTAATACAGATGTAACTCAGTGATAGTGTGATGGCCTATAGGATTATAATGGCAAGGCAACTGTGCACATCTTTGGAATGAATCCTTGGATAAACAGTCAGATTGCAAACTGATTTGTAACTGTTCCTGGATATCTTGTTCTTTTGAAATTATGGTGGTTGCAAGTAGATCCAAACAGGCCTGAGGTAAAATAATTGGTTGTAATATCAGGTGCATAGTCAAATATGGTTGCAAGTAGATACAAACAGGCCTGAGGTAAAATAATCGGTTGTAATATCAGGTGCATAGTCAAATATAATCACAAAAATTAATACAAGTAAAATAAAAAGTATTCTACTCTCTTCTGAGTAACCACTGAACCATACCTGACAAATTTCCTGTCCATTTAAGACAAACAAAAGCCTTGCAAAAGAAGATAAGTTGTTCATCTGACTTTTTCCACCTTGAAAAATGCCTTAGTGATTTACTGTTTTTGAGTTTAACAAGAAGCATTTCCTCCTGTTTCCTCAAGGTTTATTATGGAAGAAATCCAGCTCTCCTCTGCTTCAGGAGCCCTAAACTGACTGGGGAATATGAAAATAAAAGTACATGAGGACTGACAATAGCTGCTTGGTAGGATGCAATGAGAATTGGGTTTGTGTAGCAATGCTGAACCACCAGCTCACATGCTCCTCTTTGTTATTTATATTTTCTTGGTAGTGTCTTTCTGCTTTGCCAGAGTGTGTGGTCATGTGGAGCCAGGTTCCATGTGGGGAGCAATAGTGTGTAAATTGTTCACCTGTCTTGTACACTCTGTTATTAGTATTGTTGTGGTTACTGTTCATTTTTCTCATTTCATTGCTGTTTCCAGTAATTTTTTCTTATCTCAACCTGTGGTTTTTACCATTTTGTGTCTTCAATTCTCCTTTCTATCCCACCACAGGGTGAAGGGCAGGGGGGTGAGCGAGTGGCATGTGGGCTGGGGTGTTTCAGTGGGAACAGTAAATTGGGGAATACCATTCCTAAACTATGACAGAGGTGTCTCACACTTTTTTAGATACAGTTTTGCTCATGCTCTTTTTTGGGTGGTCAGCAGTACAGCAGCCATATCACAATCTAAAAATCTGTTGTCTAGAAAAAAGAAAATCTTCAGAAAAAGCAGAACATTTAATACCAACAAATCCATTTAGCCAGAAGAGATTTCATGCCACTAAGAAGTTCAGGGGAAAATGTTGCAGATTTTTTGGCCGTATACAGCGAAAAAAAAGGTTATTAAGAAACCATAATACAGAAGTGACCTCACCCAGCAGATAGGGCTGTTGAGGGTAATAATTTTTTACGATCCAATTTGCTATCTAACTTTGGAACAACTTGGATGACATGTCTCTTTTAACGGACTGCTTACAAATGAATGTTTCTGCATTGGAGACTGTTTTGGCTTCCTAAGTGTGGAATGGGTTATAGGTTTTGTTTTGAGTCAGGAAATGGAAGATACAGATCTGATTAAGGTAGGGCACGAGCAGGCCATGACACTTTGAAAGGCTTCTAGAATGCATGGTTAAGGAAAGGAATGAAGAGAGGTAGGAAGATAGGAATCTCTAGACTGTTTTTGCGAGATTAGGTTTTAAAAATATTAAGTTTTTTTAAAAATCAAGTTTTCAACAAAATTAAATAACACTTATATGAAGGGGCTGTTTCAAAGATTTGGGGAATGATTTGGCTTTCATTCTAACGTTCCCATTCATAGGTAGAAAGGTAACAAACTTTTTTTTTAAACCGGTAGTGAAAACATGTCCATTTACAATGACTTTTTCTGTGTCTTACAGCTCAAGCAAACCACTGCTGCAGCTGTTGAGGTTATCAGCATCACAAGCCAAGTAAAAGGAACAAAAGAGAAACTTGTCAATAGCAGAAGGCAGTAACCCGTCTAGTGCTGGACTTCATCCTCGGTGTTCAAGGGGTGAGGGAAAAGGGAACAACCCTCTGTCCCCTGAAATGACCTGTGAATCCTCTGCTACACCCTCTCCAGGAAATCCTGTTGGTGATGACCTTACTTATCATTGTTCCTTGCAGATGAACCCAAGTTTACAGCACTGAAATGCTATTTTCTGACAGAAGGCCATTGCTATTCTTGTCCTTTGGGCTACACATACACCTGCCAAGGCTGTCATTTAGGTAAGAAGGATAAATAAAATTAATCCATTCTCTTTAGATCAGTCACACACTATGAATGATAGGCTGCACTAATCTGCGTTTTGGTTGCATAATTTGCATGAACAATTTATTCATACTTGGGAAAAAAATGCACACTTGCTCATGGAAAACCCAAAGAACACTCATATTAGATACAGGTATCTGTACCATTAAAAGCACAAACCACTGCTGCTCACATCAAACAACCAACTCATCAGGCTCAGATCCTCTGCAGGGGAGAGCAAATAATACCAGTGGCAGCAGCTACAAAGAGAAAAAAGGGATTGCTGGCTAGTGTTTGTGCAAGTGATTTGTCTTACAGTATAAATACACACAAACAGATGATTGCTTATAATGCATATCTTATTATATGTCATCAAGAGAGAAGATGGGACTGTTATTACGTTGTTTGTTTGTAATGAATGATACTATTAGGTTTACTGCTAGCTATCACAGGAAATCCAGCTGGCAATTTGAGCATCATTTCTGATACATGCAAGCCTTTGAATAGATAGTATACAAAACAGTCAGTGGCAATTTTTGAAAAAACCCCAAATCTCCAAACCACCCAGGGGTTGCAAAGTGCTTAGGCGTCTGCCTGAGCTTAGTTTTAACTCCATGCACAGTGGCATTGAAATCAACAGCTATCCTTGAAAGAATGAGTTGTTTACACAAACACAGCCTGAGAGAGGAAAATACAAAGGGAGAAAGGACAGCTGTTTTGATTTTTCTGCAAAGAGAATGTAGACTTTAAGTTGTGACATCACATGACTAAGGGATTTCCTCACCACTGAAGTAGTAAACTGGAATTGTTATTACCCACTCACCAGTGACTGATTGCAGTGTAGCATTTCCATGTGTGATAGCCAGAGCCCATGACAGTAAGGAAAGAGATGGAAAATTGTTTAACTTGCCTGCAAAGCTGCCCTTAGGCAGGGCTGGGGGGACATCTTCATGATCTCTGTGACAGAGACCAGTGTGACCCATAGCAAGTATTCCTCTTCAAACCAGCTGCACTGAGTGTGACCCCCAAAAATCAAGCTACATTGAAATGGCCTTTTAAACAATCCTGTTAGCAAGGAACTTATAGTTCATGACAGTTTCTTTGTAGCCCATGAGAGAACAAAATCTTTTAGGCAAAGCAAAGTCTTACAGCAAATGTGAGACTGTATTAACCTCACAAACCGATGGTCTTGAAGCCAAGTGGTCTCATATTTCAAAGCAATGAAAGAATAAAAGACTGGAAATTTATATGCTTTTTATGATAAGTAGTCTTTTCAGGATCAGAACAGAGCACACAGACAGGGATAGAGGCATTTCTTTCCCTGCTAGGAAATGCAATCAAAAAAAAAAAAAAAAAGGCATATATATATATATATATGCAGATAGAGAATTTTAACTTCAAAACTTACTTCAAAAGAAGAGAAAAACATACATGTGGCAGAAGACCAGCTTAGAGACAGATCTCAGAATCAGCCCCATACATGATATTCAGGGATGTATACTTTTTAGCATGAAGAACTTGTAATACTACCAACAGGAATGACATAGAGCAACTGCTGCCCACCTGCTGAGCTTGGATGACTGACGACCACAGTAAATGTGGGATTTATGTATTTCTGCATTTCATCTTCCTGAGGCAGACTAGCAAAGGGGCCTGTCCTGTCTGTCGAGATTTCTCTGGCACTTGTTTGGTGTGTGCACCTTGCCCACAGACATGCCACATGGTGTGAAGGAGAGATTTCCCCTCTCTCCAGTCACATGGCACTACTCCTTAGTGCTGGGGTGATCCATTCCCTGCAGACTCCTGCAGCCTTCCTTAAATTCTCTTCCAGAGCAGGCACATTCATGGGCTATACACTTGATCTATCCACCTTATATTTCCTGTGATATAATTGGGTCTTTTGGCCTTTTATCCTCAGCATTTG